ACGGGGGAGACACACCTGACTAGGTGGCTCAGTGGCTAAGACACCGAGCTTGTCAATCAGAAAGGTCGGCAGTTCGGCGGTTCGAATCCCAAGTATAGGTCTCCCGCGTGAGCAGGGGGTTGGACTAGATGACCTCGAAGGTCCCTGCCAACTCTGTTACTGTTATATACCTCCAGCACAACTGGAAGATGCCAGGCGGGCGAGGGAGGGCATTATGGAAATCCAGAGAAAAATAGGGGAAAAGAACCCCAACGATCTGCAGCTTCTTTTCAACAAGTCACTTTCACTGGGCAGTCACTTGTCTGAAATGGTATAGGACAGTGCTGGCTAACCTTTTTGCTGTCGGATGCCAAAAGCGGGGGGAGTGCGGGGGGAGCGCGCGTGCGTGCCCACACCCATAATTCGATACGCCTCACCCCCCCGCGCATGCTGCTCCTGCTTTTGGCACGTGATGGCATGGTGGGCCTGTTTTTCGTCCTCCCCAGGCTCCAGAGGCTTTCTAGGCGCCTGGGGAGGGCGAAAACAGCCTTCCCCACCTCCCCGAGGCCCTCCGGAGGCCAGAAACAGCCCGTTTCCCAACTTCCGGTGGGCCCGGAAGGCCCAAAAATCAGCTGGCTGGTGTACGCATGAGAGCTGGAGCTAAGCTAGGGCAACGCTCGCGTGGCCACAGATATGGCTATGCGTGCCACCTGTGGCAAGCGTGCCATAGGTTCACCATCGCGGGTATAGGATCTCCTGCTTGAGCAGGGGGCTGGACTAGAAGACCTCCAAGGTCCCTTCCAGCTCTATTCTGATTCTTTTGAGGCCAGGCTGCTTTTCACATGAACTAAAGACACGCAGGTCTGTCCTTAACAAATTTGTGTTTTTGGAGGCCAAACCGCTGTCATATCTGGCTGGAAAAAAAGAAGACAGCTTAAAAAGACAAAAAAAAGTTTGTCCCTAAATGAACTTACATCAGGGAAACGCCAATGCTAGTTAGGGGTGTTGTGTGAACGTAGCCCCTGGCTTATGTCTTTTAAAATAAGCAAAAACCACCATCATCGCTTTAGGGTTCCTAATATTAATTTACAATGCCACCCCTGAGATCTCAATCTGGCTTCTTTCTTTTCAAGAGAAGCGCATAATTTAAATTTATTGGCTTTCCTAGGTGTGCGCATAAGAGTTTGCCAAGTTTTCAACCAGCTGCTCAAAATACAGCATTAATGTTTGCTGGGGTCTGCAGGAATAAGAGGGTGGAGGGGATTTTTTAAAAAATCTGGAAATAAATACCAGGGTAGAGTTAACGTGTACAGCTATAGAGAGGCTGCTTGGAAAATTGGCCATCTGAACTGCATGTAAAAGGCCCGAGATTTATTTATTCTTTATCTTGAGAAGGAAGGAAATGTCCCCCTTTTTTTTTGGCATAATATATATAATTTAGTTACTGGATTGATCCAATTGATGGATTCAGATAGCACCTGAATTAGTGTTTTTCAACCTTAATAACTTTATGAGGTATGGACTTCAATTCCCAGAATTCCCCAGCCAGCATAGCTGGCTAGGGAATTCTGGGAGTTGAAGTCCACATCTCTTAAAAGTTGCCAAGGTTGAGAAATATTGTGACTCTGTCCCTTTCTAAGGACTAAACTAATAACACAATGCACACCCTCAGGAGTGGGGTGTTACACGCCTGCGTAAAAAGAGAGCAAGGGGTCTTAGGGTTTAAATCGAACCAATAAATAAATAAATAAATAAATAAAAACATCAAGACAGCCGCCATGTCATCAAAGCCTCATCTCTTCTTATGTGCATCCCGCCACACCGGTGGCACATCAATCATTTGTTTGTGACTTTTATTTTTTGTGACACTCCCACACATTATACTTAAAACAGCATGAGATATCCAAGTTTGACACGACGCCTGGTTCACACGACGACTTAAGACTGAGATCATCATGGCTAACTTCCCACGACATGCTCAACTCTTAAAATTCCTCAACCTGGTTTAAGCCTCGATTAGCTTGCTGGGCTGTGTTACTGGCCAAGAGACATTCCAGACCGATGAACACGCGTGTTAAAAGCGCTTTGAAAGCACCTTGGTGACGTGTTTCCGGTTTGGGGTTTTGCACCAACCCAAGTTTATGGGACAGCATAGGTAGTCCTTGACTTGCGACCACAACTGAGGTCAACATTTCCGTTGCTAAATGTTGGGACGGCGGATCAGTGAATTTTGCTCTATTTTGCGACCTTTCTTTGTCACAGATGTTAAGTAAATCACGGCGGTTGTTAAGTTCGTCCCATGGTTGTTAAGTGAATCTGGCTTCCCTGTTGACTTTGCTTGTCAGAAGGGAATCATACAGCAAAGGTCGCAAATATGAATCCATTGCCAAGTATCCGATCACGGGGATGCAGCACAGATCATAACTAGGAAAAAAACGGTCGTTAAGTCCCATTGTAACTTTTGAACAGTCGCTAAGCGAAGTTAAGTTGAGGACTCCCAGTAGAATGCTCTGCATTACACAACCCAGGTTGTGGGGTGGGATCTGAACTCAGGACCAGTTAGGCGACGGGCCTCCCTTTGTATGTGATGCTCAATGCGAGGCTTTGTGGGATGCTTCCGTTTAGATGTCTGCACCAAGAAAGGGTTGGGGGTGGGGTGGGATGGATGGCCTCGAGGGATCCTTCCCATTTTAACAGCTGGCGTGCTCCAAGGGAATCCCACGCTGCAGGGAAAAATCAAAACACAGAACACAGAAATAACTCAGGAGCGTCCGTGACTTTACAGGTGGAACATTTTTTAATTTTTTTTGCAAACTTTGCAAAATCTGCAAAAAAGTAGTAGCTTTCCAAAAGAAAAAAAAGGCGGCAGGAGAGAGGCCGCGAATAAGCCACGAGAGCTCTGGAAACGCATGCTCCTGAACCCAGCGCCGCATTTTTTAAGTCACCCGCGTGTAAAAAAAAACAAAAAATGAGACTTTTCACTGCTCGAGACCGATCCCTTTCAACCAAAGCCGACTCCGTTCCATCGAGGGTGTTTCTCCCCCCATTTATCCGGGTTTTCCCCGCCGCACTTTCCATCACGAGCGACAGCAGCGGCATCCAATCCCCAGCCGCAAAGCGTCAACATTGTGTTCGCTCGGCCCTCCGGGCGAATGAGAACCGCCGGAGTTCAATGTCCCGCCTTCCGTGAGCCAGAAGAAGACGAGCGCGGCGGCCATCTTGAGTGCGGCAGCGAAAAACAACCGAGGCGGGCTGAGGATTTACGGCCGGTCGCCGAACCGGGACCCCGAGAAAGGGACGTCGGGACCGGAGAGGCGGCGGTGGGCGTGGGACGCGACCCGTGAGGCGGCTCGGTTGGCCGACGGCACCGACTGGTATCCCAGGCATGGGCGCCCGGCGCCATCTTAAGTGTGGCAAGTCTTCGCTCCTTTTCCGCCGCCTCCATTGCTTGTTATTTGCAAAGCGGGGAGGGGGAGGGGGAGGGGAGGGGGGGCAGCAAGCGAGCGCATTTCCCCCCCTTTGCAACCCGAGGTTTGGAATTTGGGGGAGGAGGGGGGGTTCCCCAAAAATGCAAACTGCTCCCCCCTCTTTTGCAAACCACCCAACTTTGCAAAAGCTACGTTTTTTTGGGGGGGGGGGGAAATAAAAACCCGTAGCTTTGGATTTCCTTTTTTGGGGGGGGGCAAATTCCAAATTTTCAAAAAAAAAAATAATAAAAAAAATAAAAGGGGGGGCATTGCACAGCAGCCCCCCCCCTTTCTTTTTTTCTTTCTTTTTTGCAAAGGTTGCAATTGCAAGCGAGAAAGAAAGAAAAAAAAAGAGGGGGGTGGACTGCTATGCAATACCCCCCCTCTTTTATTTATTTTTATTTATTATTAATTTTTTTTGCAAAGGTTGCAATTGCAAGTCTTTTGCAAACTTAACAGGACGGGGCGGGCGGAGGGAAGGAAGGAAAGAAGGAAAAAGCAGCGTTTCGCCGGGTTTTGCTTGGCTGGATTTGCCTCGACGGGGTGGGGGGAGGGAGAAGAGGAAGAAACGCGTGTTCAGCTTTTGCAAAAGGGCGCCTTTTTGGGGGGGGGAGGGGGGAGGTTCGGTCTCTGCAAAGGCCGGAGGGGAAAAAAAAAAAAAAAAAAAGAGGCTCGCCCTAAAGTCGGGACCGCCCCCTTTGCATAAATAAATAAAAAAAATAAAAAAAATAAAAAAGGGGGCGGGGGAAGCAAGCGGGCGGCCAGTTCCGTGTCCTTCCAACACGCAAGCGAGCCGTTCCCACGTGCGCTCGCGGGCCGCCCCTCGCCTCAGTCGGGGCCGCGCGAGTCCTCCGCCCTTTTGTCGTTCTCCCCCCCTCATGCCAGTGCGCTTGCGCAATGCGAGGGGGGGGGGGAAAGAAAAAAAAATGCTCGGTCGGGTGACGCGCATCCCCGACGGGGCGAAATGGAAGATCGCGCGGGGGGGGGAAATAAAAACACCCCCCCACTCCTCTCCGCCGTCGAACAATATATATATATCTAATAAGAGTGCAAGGCTGGATTTGCAACTTGTGGGGTGGGGGAGGGGAGGGATGGAGACCCGATGCCGAAAAAGACAGACGGCTTCCCGTGCTCGACGGCCCGCTCCGTCTGCGGGCGCCCGCCCGCGAGGCAACAATACCCTCGCTCGTGCGCATGCGCCCATTTGCAAAAAAATAAAATAAAATAAAAAATCAACCCCTCCCGTCCATGCAAGAGAATTGCATGGACGGGAGGGGTTGCTCTTTTCTTTCCCCCCTCCCTCCTCTCTCTCTCTTCTCTCTCTCTCCTCCTGCGCGCGGCTGTTTTGCAAGCCGCCTCCTCCGCCTCCCTTTGCGCGGGAGGGAGGGAGGGAGCGCAGCGGGGGCCCCCCGACGGCTCCGTCAGCAGCCTTGCCCCATTGTTCGGCCGCTCGCCCAATGGGCGCGCTCGGCTTCTCCCGGGCCGCCCAATCGGGGCCGCCGAGGGGAGGGCGCGCTCCGCCCACTAATCTATATTAAAGGCGGTGGCACCGCGTGAGCCTCCACTGGCATCCAAAGCCATCTTTGCATTGTTCCTGCCCCGGGTTGTCGGGCTTGCGCTGGTCGTCGCGGGGCTTCGCTCTTCACCATCACCACCACCACCACCACCAGCAAAGTCTTCCTCCTCCTTCCTCTTCCTCTACCGTCGCGGTCTTCTCCTCCTCCTCCTCCTCCTCTTTTGATTTTTGCAAGCCACGCCGCGTACGCGCCCTCGGATCTCTCCCGTCTTCCCGGCGCTTCTTCCTTTTGTACAGTCGCGGGCTTTTTTCCGCTGCACCACCACCGCAACTCCCCTCCTTCCCCCCGGCCAGCCATGTCAGACACAGCCGTGGATACCAGCTCCGAGATCTCCACCAAGGTAAGCCTCCGGGAGGGGCTTTTTTTGCAACCCAGCCCCGTGGAAATCCGCGCGGGGTTGTGTTACATTGTGTTGTGTTATGTGTGTGTGCGATGCCTTTCCTTGCGCTTTCGCTTCCCCGCAACGGCCGGCGTGCACTCGTGGGTCTCCCGGCTCGGCTTCCTCCTCCTCCTCCTTCCTTTGTTTGCGATCGGCTCTTGCGCCGCTTGCCCGTCTTAGTTTCCCGCTGGCCTGGCATCCCTTTGCGCGGATCGGGGAGGGAACGGGGGGGCTTTCCTGTCCACCCGCAAACGCCTCGGAAGGTGGTGGGCAAGGCAGGTGGTTTCTCCTTGCAGTCCCGGGCTTCCCATTTCTTTTTTCCCCCTCCTCTCCACCCGCTTTGCCAGGCTGGGATCGACGGAAGGGGAGCGCATTGGCTTGGGGGGTCTTTTGACAGACGCGGCGAACTTCCAGGCTCCGTTTTGTGCCCGGCGGACGGGAGAGGAGAAAAGAACAGGCGAAAGTCACCCGGAGGAAGCCGGGCAAAGCACAGGGAGGCAGGCAGGCAGCGATTGCCGGCGCCGGCTTGGCTAGCGGCGGGGCTTCCCTTAAACCCCGGTCCTGCCGTCCGGCTCGGCACCTTGAAGCGGAGAGCGGCTGCTCCCCGTTGCTTCGCTACCTTGCCGGAGCCCTTTCGGGGGGGTGCAAAGTTCTGCGTGTCTGCGCGCGCCCCCCCTCCTCCTCGTTACCCTAATTGGCCCGGGCTAATTGCGCGGAAACAACTTGGCGACCCCCGCTGGCCCGGGAGAAAATCGGAAGCGCTTTGGCAGAAGAAGAAGAAAAAGGGGGGCGAGGAAAGAGAGAGAACGGGGAGCCCTTGAATGGCTCTGCCCGGACGTCGGAACGGGCACCCCGAGGTCTCTGCCGTCCGGCGCGCTTCTTTTGTTTCCAGCAGGCAGAGAGCACTTCGCGGCTGCTGCTGCTACTGCCGCCTCCCGGTATCCTTTCCTCGGGCGATCGTGCGCGCCTTCCGGGCTTAAAATCCCCCTTGCCACGGAAAGGGAGCCAACCCCGACGGGCTCCGAAGGGAAGAGAAAACACGGGTGTTTATAACAGAGAGCCCCTCCCCCCCCCCCCCCGCTTCCTTCCGAAAGTTGGGGCGCCTTGAACTCGGGTGGCCCCTAAACCCCGCTTGCCTCCCCTTTCCCCCGTGGAAGCCGCTTTCCCCCCGGAGTCCCGACGTGGCGGGAAGAGAGGGAGAAGCGGAGACGTCGGAAGGCGGGTTGAACTCGCGTGTCCCGATGGAGGAATTGCGGGCGGGGGAGGCACGGACGGGAATCCGGGCTGCGCAGAGCCAGCCGGGGGGGAGATGCTGCGCGGCGTTTTCGGGGAGCCCCTTTCCCCACCGGGTGGGAAGGAAAGGGAACGGCTCGCTCGTTCCGGTCCCCGCCCGTCGGGCCCTTTCTTTCCCGTTCGCGGGCGGTGGATACAATGTTGCATTCGTCCTTGGCGGGGGGGGGAATCGTCGCCTCGTTAAGTCTCGGGGTTGCCGGAGAGAAGGGCGGCGCGGAGTTTGGTGGTGGTGGGGGGACCCCGGTCCTGGTGGGAAGGGGCGGCCGGGAGCCCCCCCTCCTCGACGCCGATCGGCCGAGTCCCGCGTTCTCTCCCCCCCCCCGCACTCCCACGCGGGGATTGACTGATTGACTGACCTGGGGGCGCGCGATATCAAAAGATCCCGCCCGGATCTTAGACGGGGAGGGGGGGGGCTTTTTGTTCCTGCAGAGGGTCACCGTTGGGGCAGGTTGCAAACAGCGGGTTTGCAACCTGCGGAGGTGGATCTCGGCGGGGTGGAGGGCAGGCAATGGGGATCTCCCCTCGGGGAAACCCTTATGGGGGGGAGGTGACCCCCCCTTCCCTCTAGCTTATTTCCAGTCCTGGCGCTGCTTTTTTTTTTTTTTTTTTTTCCCCCCCCCCGCCACGGGGGATTAAAATGCATGGGGGGGGGGGGGGAGCTTGAGATTGATTTCCCAGGCGGGCGGCGGCTCTTCTCTCCAGCGCCGCCCCCGGCTGTCTGCGGCCGCAGTAAACAGCGAGCGAGCGGCAAAGCCAAAGCCGCCCCACCACGTGCCGCTTTCTCTGCTTCTCGCCTTCTCCGGTTTCCTTCCCCCTCCCCTCTCCTGCCCGCCCGCCCGCGCGGCGCCTCCTGGGAGCCGTAGTTCGCTTCCCGTCGGCTCTTCTATTAACTCCACTGGACTCTCCCGCTCGGAAAGAACTACGCGCCCCGGCGTACCTTGGGAGGTTAGAGCCGGCTGGCCAATCGAAGTGGCGCCAAGTGTGGCGCGCAGGTTTGAATTGGCCCAGAGCGCATGGCCTTGCTTGCCGCCGGCCGGCCGCTGGGACTCCCCCCCCCTCCGGCTCTTGCGCCCCCTGCAGGAAGGAGGATAGGGTTACTGCAAGCTTTATTATTTTTTTTTTAATGGGCCTTTGAAAAGCAAAGCCAAAATAAAACACACACACACACACAGAGCCTAATTAAGAATTAGGGACAGAAGCACTTAAGAATGCCTGGAGTTAATAGCTGGTGCATCAATGCATTTGGCAATGTGTGGTTTTTGGCTAAAAGCTGCAGTGCTAGTGGGGTTCTATGCGTGTCTTCCTTATTATGGCTTCTGTTTTATTGCCTGTATTTTCCCTGTTAGTAAATGGGCATTCTTCTAAACAGGCTTCTGCATTGATGGGACTATTAATAAAACATGGTGCCTCGATAAGATACACACAACACAAACCTTGGTTTTGTTTTTGTGTTCTTTTTACCACAAATAGGCAGCAGCTCAGTCGTTTTGCCTTGCCTAAATCAAAACTTGAGGATCATCCCTCTCCTTGTTGTGGCTGGTCTTGAAGCAGTAAACAGCTTTTGCCGGGCTTATAATTACAGGGACTCTTATCAGGATCTGTCAAAAGACGTAAACATTGACTTCAAACGTGTTGTTGCTTGTAAGCTGCAGGCCGTTGGTGGGTGATTTTCTAGGAGAAACTCTGTCTAGGGAAAAGGAGGGGGGAAATCATGCTTGTGATCTTGGAATGGCATTGGCAGCACCGGCGTTCTGGCCTCTGCGTAAAAAACAGGTTTAGCTTGGGATAAACCCACCCTCTCTTGACGCTACAGTTAAAAAGTTCAAATTTAGGAAATTGGTTCCCTTTTCGACAAGATTTTGCTGCTTTCCTATCGCAGAGCAAGCCGTTTTGCTTTTTCAGAAGGGATATCTAGGAATTAGAAACCTGCCACAAACAAACCCAGCTTTTGCAACCATACGAGATGGCAAAAGCTGGAAAGAGTACCTCAGGGCCGGCAGCTGAATTTTTAAAAAAGCAAAATTCCTGATTCTCGTCTCCCACTTGTACCCACGGTGGTTTTGAGGCACGGGGCAGCTAAGATCTGTGAGCTCGGGGGACGGATGGCACAGATCATTGGGGGGGCGGGCAGCGTGGTCTGAAGCTGCTAATCGGGTTTGGCCAGAAGCCGTCGGTGATGCCCTGAGAGGTTTTAAGAAAGCTGCTCTTGGGTTGTGCGAACAAATGCTCGTCTGCGGAAAGAGAAAAGGGGCTTCCTTAATTATGGCTGCGCTCCATGGAGAACGGCAGCCCTTGCCAAGCCTGCCTCTGGCACCTTGTTGTGATTTTTCCCTCCCCAGGCGAGCCAGGAGTGTGTTTGCTGAATTGTGTTTATACGAGGGCTCCCTCCCCTTTTCCGGTGGGGAGCCGGGAGATGTGTTGTCGTAAATCTGTTAGTGCCCTTCGCCTTTCCAGCTTGGAACAGGCCAAGACACAACAATGCAAGGGGTTTTTGGGAGGAGTTGTTTAGTGGCAGGTCACACTGCCTCGCCAAGGAATTGCATCCTCATTTGTAGGGAGGGAAGCAAATGGAGAGTAGAGAGCTCTCTTGAAAATAAAAAAATAAAATAAAATGAATAAAAACACATAACAAACACACTTCGCCTTGGGAAGAGTTTGGACTCTGCTCTTCTCTTGGAGGGGGTTGCGTGTTGGCTGTATTGAACGAAATTGGGGGCCACAAAGAAAGCCGAAACGTACAAGTCTCAGAGTTCCTACATAGTCGTTGTGTTTATGTTTTTTTCTCCCTCCAAAAAAAAGGGGGGGGAGGGAAAAGGGTTGTCCATCATTCTCACTGCCTGGGAATCTGGACCAATAATGTCGGGGAGGCCGGGATCCCAATGACTCATCCTGGTTTCTTTTTTCTTTTTTTTTTTTGCCCCTTCCTTTTAAGGATTTGAAAGAAAAGAAGGAAGTTGTGGAAGAAACAGAAAATGGCAGGGATGCCCCCGCCAATGGCAATGCCGTAAGTATCGGCCAGGACGGAATTGGGGGGAGAGATGATGATTTGACAGGAACACAGAATAATAGAATTGGAAGGGAACTTGGAAGCAGAACCGGCAAATCCAGATTGAATTTTCCTAAGTAGGAGAAACTTTGCAGAGTCTCGTTTGTTTTTTTTAAACTTCTTGGTCCTGCTGTGAGACATCACTTGCTCCCCATTCACACAACTCTCCCAGACATGATTGATATAAATTGGGCAGTTCAGCCTGCGAAGCCAGCCCTTGTAGAGACCGTTGGCCTAAGGGCATTAGAGTTTAATCTGAATTAGGGGGTTCTGCTTGGTTAAACTCTAGTCTAGTGAAATGAAGACATGATATCAGAGTTCCAATATTTGGGGGGCTGGCACAAAGAAGATTTGGGGGTCAAGCTATTCTCCAAAGCAGCTGAAGGCAGGACAAGAAGCAACGGATGGAAACTAACCAAGGAGAGAAGCAACCTGGAACTAAGGGGAAACTCCCTAACAGTGAGGACAGTTAACCAGTGGAACAACTGGCCACCAGAAGTTGTGGGTGCTCCAACACTGGAGGTTTTTAAAAAGAGACTGGACAGCCATTTGTCAGAAATGGTATGGGGTCTCCTGCTTGAGCACGGGGTTGGACTAGAAGACCTCCAAGTTCCCTTCCAACTCTGTTATTCTGTGAATCTGAACTCTTGTTTTAGTGTACGAACCACAGATATTAGTTCTTTTCCCGTAAGGAAGGAACGCCGGTCCATATTTCAAGTTATTTTATTGATAATAAAGGGAGTATAAAGTAGTGAAGACGTGTGGGCTTCGATCAACTCCCAGAATTCCCCACCCAGCCAGTTTATGGTGTGGGAAACAATTTCATGGTCCTTCGATGACTTGTGGACTTCAACTCCCAGAATTCACCAGGCAGCCATGGCTGGTTCAGGCAGGGATTCTGGGAGTTGAAGTCCACCAGTCATCAAAAGGACCATGGTTGTTTCCTACTCCTGGTGTAGAGGAGGGGTCCCCAAACTTGGCGGCTTTAAGACTTGTGGACTTCAACTCCCAGAATTCTCCAGCCAGAGTTGAAGTCCACAAGTCTTAAAGCTGCCAAGTTTGAAAACCTCTGGTGTAGAGACATAAAAAATTAACAATCTCTTAGCAAAGTTTATCCCTCTTTCTCATTGTCCTCCCTTTTCATTCCCCCAAACTGCCCTGTAAATGACAATTCTTACTTTTGTCACAGCTGTGGAGCATGCAACAGTGGTTCTTTTGTTACAAGGCCATCATTCTGCCCGGTCTATAAGTGCCAGGGAATTCGTTAAAGTGGGGAGGGGGGGTTAGGAGGCTCCCTGTGTTTTTTGTTTTTTTTTAAGTGTGCTTCGTTTCCGCAAAGGCGAATGAGGAAAACGGCGAGCAGGAGGCGGACAACGAGGTAGACGACGAAGAGGAAGAGGTTGGCGACGAAGAAGAGGATGAGGAAGAAGGTGACGGTAAATTCTCCCCCCCCTTTTTTTGTTTGTTTGTTTGTGTGTGTGTGTTTGTGTGTCTTTTTTCTTCCTGGGAAATGTAGTCCACCGAAATGAGAAGGGCGCCTAGTTGGAGAAGATTTAGGCTGAGTTTGCTATGGTGAAGAGTGTGGAGAGGGGGCTGGCTCCCCCTGGTGGCCCTTTTGCATAGAGCACGAGAAATGAGTCAATTTTGTTTTTTGTTTTTTTACACATCGGACTCATCGCAGCACGAAAGAAAACATCTAAATGGGATTGTGCGCCTTTTGCAAAAGAACTGGAATTCACAGAAGCCTCCAGGTGTAACCTCTTGGGGAGAGAGGAATTAAAAAGTAACTATTCTCTTAAATCTTGCCTCCTTCTAAACCAGGGCTCGTTTTGTTTTTAAACTTTTCTTTCTATAACCCTCATCGCAGCTCTGGTAGGTGGAGACTGCCCATGGAGGCTTGTATCTCCCGTCTCTTTCAAATCAGCAGCGCTCTCGTTCCAACCAGGAATCTCTCGGCAGAAGAAGAAAATAATATAATATATAAAACAATTTATTTTATTTATCCCAACTTTATTGTCTACGAAGATTGTCATCCAGGTTGTCCAAAACGTGCTTTTTTTCAAGAGGCAATTGGACAGAAAATCCAGTTGCCTCTTGAAAAAGCACCTTTTATTATTTTCATAAATACACATACCTTCTTTCCTTCTGTTTTCCTACAGTAACGCTGGATAGGCTGAGAATGACTAGGCTCCAGCTGGCTTTCCTGCCTAAAGTGGGACTAGAATTCACCGTCTCCTGGTGATTGGCTCAAAGTCACCCGATTGGCTTTTATGTTGAATAGTGGGATTAGAATTTATTATCTCTCGATGGTGATTGGCCTAAAGTCACCCAGCTGGCTTTCATGCATAAAGCAGAACTAGAACTCACCATCTTCTGTTCTCTAGCCTGGTGTCTTAACCAGTAGGCCAAACTTCTCCTCCCACTCCTATTTTCTCTCTTTTATTTTTATTATTTGCCATTCTCTTCCCAATTATTTGCCTTCCGGCAGTGAGAAGACCCATTCTGGAGCTTCTGTTGGGAGTTTGAACATTTATTAGGGTTTTTTTAGAACCACTCAATAGCCAAACCTGTCTGGGCACCTTGCCATAAAACCTGTTAAAATTGCAGTGCAAATAAAAGGACATATACAGTTAAGATCAATAAAAGGCAAAATGAAAAAAAAACGCCATTCCGGCTACGGAGCCCTTCAGGAGCAAAGACGATTTGTGTTAAATAGAAGAAGAAATTTTTCCAGACTCAAAAGTCTTTTAAAAAAAGGAGCTAAAATGATGCCTGTTGGACATCAGTCCGGCTTCTCTGGACAGTCCGGCTTTCGCAAACGGGCACCGTCGCCGAGAAAAATCTCCCCCTCGTAGAGATCTACCATGTCATCCTTGGGAAGGCTGGGTGAGAGGCTATTGCAGGTAGATCCCTGCAACTTACGACCACAATTGAGCCCCAAAATTTTCTGTTGCTAAGCGAGATGTCCGTTAAGTGAGCTTTGCCCCATGTTACGACCTTCCTTGCCACCGTTGTTAAGTGGATCGCACACAGTTCCTTAAATTAGCAACCCGGTTGTTAAGCGAATCTGGCTTCCGCATGGACTTTCGCTTCTCAGAAGGTCACAAAAGGGGGATCACGTGACTTGAGACACGGCAACCGTTATAAATATTTTATTTATAAATGAATAAAAATTCAGCCAGTGGCCAAGCGGCTGGATTTTGATCACATGATCAAAATCATCCCTCGTGAGCGAGAAAACCGGTCATAAGTCAACTTTTATTTCAGGGCTGTTTTAACTTGGGAACTGTCACTAAAGGAGCGATTGCAAGTCAAGGACTATCCATCATTGCCAGTTGGGCGGGATTTTTGCTACCCTACTGGTAGTCTTCAATTAACGACCATAATCGAGCCCAGAATTTCTGTTGCTGAGTGAAACATTTTATCCAGTGAATTTTACCTCAGTTTATCACTTTTCTTGCTACGACGGTTAAGTGAATTGCTGCATTTCTTAAAGTTAGTCACAAGGTCATTGAGCGAATCTGGCTTCTATCCGAAGGTCGCAAAAGGAGATCACGTGTCCGTCATAAATATGAGTCCGTCGCCAAGCATCCAAAGTTCAATCATGGTGACCACGGCGGATGCCACAACGGCCGAAAGCGTGAAAAACGGCCCTCAAGTCCCTTTTTTTTTCCAGTGCCGTCGTAACTTCAAACGGTCGCTAAGGGGACCGTTGTAAGCCGAGGACTATGCCTGTATTAGCACGGGGGACTCCCTTCCTGGATGCCACAGGTTGGAAAGCTTGCAAATACTTGGAGCGCCGAATGCCCAGCCCAGTTGCCTTGTGGGCATTGGCTCCCTCGGCTTGGCTGACCCGTCCCGGCTTCAATGCCAGCTGGAAGATGCCGACAGAAAAATGCCAGCTGTCAGGCCTGCTAAGCCAAACCTGCCGCCCGTCAAGGAGGCGACTCTGCCAGGGCTCAGAGAGACAAGATGGCTGGCTCTGATCGAACCGCCATAAGTCCGCTGGCATCTCCGGCTGTTGTTTTTCCAGCATCTCGGTTGCCGGGTGGGGACGGTTGCCTGGATACCCACTGATGGAGATGGAGGAAGGACCGGGAAGCCATGGGAGATGCCTTGCACTGCCAGCAGCCTCCCCCCACTCCTCCCCCTCGGTGGGTCTGGGCTGCTGCTCCCCCCTCCCTCCCTCCCTCTCGGGATTGGCTTTGCGTGCCAAGAAATTGGAGAAGCTAATCTTGCGAGTGGGGGCGAAAAAAGTTATTCTCAGGTGACCCTAATCCCTTGCAGATCCCAGTGGCACTTAAGACAGATTATTGGCCTCTCCGGGAAGGGTCAGCCGAGCCCATTTATTTAAATCCCAAGAGCCTTAAAGCAGCCCCCCACCCCCACCCCACCCAAGCTCTGTGGCTTGGAAACTCTGGGGGTGAAGAAGATCTTCCCTCTCCGTCCGATTGGTCCTTTCCTGAATCAAGTGGCGTTTAGTTCCACTTCTTATTTTCTCTCTCCCTCTCTCTTCTTTCCCTTTTTTCTCTTCCCCTCTCTCCCCTTCTCTTTTCTCTCTCCTCCTCCTCCTCTCTTTCTCTGCTCCTCTCTCACCTCTTCCTTTCTCTACCCTTTCTCTTCTATCTCCTTCTTTCCACCTCTTCTCTCCTCTTCTCCTTTCTCCTTCCTCTCTCCCCTTTCTCTTCTGCCTCCTCTCCTTCCTGTCCTTTCTCTTTTCTTCCCTCTCTTCTCTCTCCTGTCTCTGTCTCCATCTCCCTTCCTCTCTCCCCTTTCTCTTCTGCCTCCTCTCCTTCCTGTCTTTTTCCCCTTTCTTCTTTTCTTCCTTCTTTCCGCCCCTCCTCTCTTCTGTCTCCCATCTTCTTCCTCTCTCCCCTTTCTCTTCTCTCTCCCCTCCTTCCTCTGTCTTTTTCTCTTCCTTCTTTTGTCTCTTCCCCCTCCCCCTCTTCTCTGTCCTTCCTCTCTTCCATTTTCTTTCCTGTCTTGCTCTCTCTTCTCTTTCTCCTCTCCCCCTTCCCCTCTCTGAGTTTGGGAGGAGAGGAAACGGGGAGAATCCAGAGGCAGGATAATTGAAAAGCTTGTGCCCAAACAAACCGGAGTTCTGGCTCTCCTCCCTCATTACAAGAGAAGCTTATAGTGGAGAAGAGATGCAGAAATAATGTGGTTTTGGCTGAGGGAAGGCAGCCTCTTTTGGCTGCCGGTGGCCTCGGTTCGGAGGCCTCCATCTGACCGCCTGCCTTCCCCATGCAGAAGAGGGACTTCCCCCCCACGCGTCTTGCAAGAAATGGGGGGAGCAAGAGGTTCCCTCTCCGGCGCTTAGTAGCTTAACTCTTACCCAGAGTCCCCTTTGCAAGGATTTGAGCAGTTCGGATCCCATAAAATCAACAGTTAATTGGACCAATGATTCCAGGGGTTGTAGAAATCATCGGATGGGCGTTCATCCAACAGCTTCGCTCTCGCCACGCAACCTAAAGTTTTTGGGAGCCGCTTTTTTATTTTTTGAAAAAATGGTGCTTGCGGGTACAGTTGGCCCTCGGCTTACCACAGTCCGTTTAGTGACCGTTCGAAGCTTACAACGGCACCGGAAAGAGCGACGTGTGACTTTTCCCCCGCACGTCTCTGTAGTCACGTCATCAAAATTCGGACGCTTTGGCAACTGACTCGTATTTATGACGGCGGGAAATCAGGAGTCAAATTTACAGCAGTCGTCACTAACGGAACAACGGCAGCAATTCGCATGACAACGGTGGCGAGAAGTGTTGTAAAAGGGGGACAGAATTCACTTAAGGACTGCCTCGCTTAGCAACAGAAATTTTGGGCTCAGTTGTGGTCGTAAGTTGAGGACTGCCTGTATTTGGAAAGGAACAGTACTGAGGGAAGGTGGGCAGTGGTCTCTCTCTCTCTCTCACACACACACACAAACAAACACAACACTCAACTCGCACTAACACGGCTGTCGGATGGGGAGGCCTGCTTGGTCTCTGCATTTCCTTAGAAGCAACTCATTTTTTCCTGGGGTTTTTCCGCTTCTGAATGACGGTCCCCGGAGACCCTTTCCAGGAAGGACTCCCTCCCTCCCACAAGTTTTGCAGCTTCCTGTAGGCACCTAGTTTGGCCTGAGGACGGGAAACAGGATGCTAGTTTAAATAGATCGGCCCGTCTCGTCTCTTGGGGGGGGGGCGAGGTGGACCCCCCAACCTGCTTTTGGAGAAAGCTGAGATCGGCCGGTGAAGCATATGAAGAAGCTGTTTGGGCCAGGAGCTCCTTTCTCAAGCTGTCCTTCCTTCTCTAGGCGAAGAAGAAGATGGTGATGAAGATGACGAGACTGAAGGTCCGACCGGCAAACGGGCAGCTGAGGACGATGAGGTGAGGCACCCTTCCGAGAGAAGGCCGGAGGAGCAGTTCCGGCCAACATCTCTACCGCGCATAATTTTTTAATAGCTTATCAAAATATAGAATGCAACAATACAAAGAAAATATACAGAAATATAAAATGCAGAAATGCAAAGAAAATATGCAGAAATATAAAATGAAGAAAAATGAAAATAGTGGGAAAAGGATGGGGGGGGAAGTGTAGGGTAAAAGGGGAGAAGAAAAAAGAAATTAATTTCCAACTAATTTTGATGTAGTATAATAAGATAATATAAACCTCAACTTTTTACTTTTACGTAACGGTGTAAACGGAAGGAGCCTTGGTGGCGCAGCGGACTAAAATGCTGTTAAAGTAGCACTTAGCTGCCAGCTGCCTGGCATTACTACGAGTTCAAATCTCACCAGGCTCAAGGTTGACTCAGCCTTCCATCCTTCCGAGGGAGGTAAAATGAGGACCCAGATTGTGGGGGCAATAAGCTGACTTTGTATAAAAAAGAACACCGCTTAGGGGGGGCCGAAAGCCCTACTAAGCAGGTATATACAAAAGGATGAAGGCTATTGCTTAACGCATTGTAAGCCGCCCTGAGTCTCCGGAGAAGGGCGGCATATAAATCGAACCAATAAATAAATAAACCGGCCATTTCTAGAACAACAAACCTATCCAATCAGCAAAACCCAAAATCAAAGCTTTCATTTTTTTCCCCCCACCTCAAGCACAAAGTCCAGAACTGGTTTCCATGCAGAAACAAAATGGTGTCCTTCAATCAAAAGCAGTCAAATTTAGCCATCTCTGCTAACTCCCATCAACTTTTGCAGCCATTCGTCCATTGGAATCACAAAGTGTCCTTCCATTTTTGTACATAAAAGTATTCTCTTAGGCCCCATCAATTTTAATTTTAGGCCCCATCACCGCGTCCCACTGGGATGCAGTGGCTAAAGACGCTGAGTTTGTCAATCGAAAGGTCAGCGGTTCGAATCCCTAGCGCCACGTAACGGGGTGAGCTCCCGTGACTTGTCCCAGCTTCTGCCAACCTAGCAGTTCGAAAGCAGGTAAAAAATGCAAGTAGAAAAATAGGGACCACCTTTGGTGGGAAGGGAACAGCGTTCCGTGCGCCTTTGGCATTGGGTCATGCTGGCCACACGACCACGGAGACGTCTTCGGACAGCGCTGGCTCTTCGGCTTTGAAACGGAGATGAGCAGCGCCCCCTAGAGTCGGGAACGAGTAGTGCATTTGTGCGAGGGGAACCTTTACCTTTATGTTGCATCCCAAGCATGGAACGTGGCCTTAATTCCAGCTCTTGTCTTTTGAAGTTGCCCACCTACGCCTAGGATCGCTAACATGATCGCCAACATCCAGTGACGGATATGGCACAAGAAGACGAGCTAAGTCTCAAAATAGCCACTTGCTTGTAAGGCCAGACCCATCATCCTGAGCCAGTGTCTCAACTCCTTTACGGGTAGTTCCCTTTGCTCAGATTTCAGATCTCAGGTCTGAGTGTCTCAGAGCACTTTCATAAACTGACATTCCCAGAATCTTATCGACAGATTTATTTTATTTTGAATTTGTATACCGCCCTTCTCCCTGAGGACTCACGGCGGTGAACATAAGATATGGCTAACAGCGCAGAGTTCTAGGCAGGGGCCTCAGGATGAGCCTTGGTGGCGCAGCAGACTAAAGCACTGTTAAGTAACACCAGCTGCCTGCAATTACTGCAAGTTCGAATCTCACCAGGCTCAAGGTTGACTCCGCCTTCCATCCTTTCGAGGTAGATAAAATGACCTGTATAACAGTAACAAGAGTTGGAAGGGACCTTGGAGGTCATCTAGCCCAACCCGCTTCTCACGCAGGAGACCTGTGCTAGGGATTCGAACTGCCGACCTTGTCTGATCGGCAAGCTCAAGTGTCTTAGCCACAGAGCCACCTAGCCAGGCTCTCTCTCTCTCTAACCCCTTTTTCGCCTTCCTTTTTTTTTTGCAGGACGACGACGTCGATCCGAAGAAGCAGAAAACCGACGAAGACGACTAGGGAGTTAGAATAATAAAAAAAAGAAACAACTTTTTTTTTAAACTTTTAAAAAAAAAAAACGAGGAAAGAATTTTTTTTTTAAAAAAAAAAGGCCAGCGTGACCTACTTTTCACCTTTGAAAAACTTCCTGTTACAAAAAAAAGAGAAAGAAAGAAATAACGTCCCCTTGTTGCTAATGGTCACCGTCATAAAGTAGAGCAAACAAGCAAAAAAACAAAACAAGTAAAAGCCGTACGACGTAGAGCTGCCATTTTTTCCCCCCCAACTTGTAAAAAAAAAAAAAAACCCAAAAAATCTCCCTCCTTCCCTTCCCCCCCATCGGGGGTGGGGGTGGGGAGACCGGGTGATCCAGTCTCTGCCCCTCCCCCTCTTCCCCTCCCCCCACCGGAAACTTCAAGGCTCAGCTTGCTTTCTTAAAAGTAACTTTAAAAAAAGGAGGATTTGTTTGTATTTTTTATTTACATTTTATATTTTTGTACATATTGTGATGAGGTCAGCCATTTTTAACGCGATCTCCGATTGACCAAAAGGGGGGGGGGTGAGGGGCTTTTGAAGTGTGCTTTTCTTTTCTTTTCTTTTTCTTTTCCTTTGTTCCTATAAACGAATCAAAAAAAAAAATTTAATAATCTCGACTTTACTTGTGGTGTGACCGTTGTCCAAAAAAAAAAAAAAAAACCTCAAAAAGAGAAGAAAACAAAAGACCTTGTAAAAAATAATAATAATGATTTCAAAAAATGCAAAAAAAAGGTCCAAGGTTTATAATGAGCATTCCAGTAACTTTTTTTTTTTTTTTTTTTTGTGTATGTACTTTTACCTGTACCATAAAGTAGTGGGTTTGTATGAGATGGCAAGGCCAAAGATTAAAAAGGGTTTTTTTTTCCTTTTTTTTTTTTCCTTTTCCTTTTTTTTTATTTTTGTCTAAGGAGTTGCTGTTAATTTTTTTTTTAATTTTAATTTTTTTTTTTTTTTTTGGCCTGTTTAATGTATGTGTGAAAACAATATTGTCCAACAATAAACCCGAATTTTATTTTGCTGAGTTGTTCTAACAAAGCTGGTTGCACAAGTGCTGTGTAGTTGTTTTTTTAACCTCCCCAAGTAAATTTTACCTCAGCTTATTGAGGATTTACCAAATACTTTTCCTAGATAAAGTGGATTGGTGGTATAGGTAGTCCTCGACTTAACGACCACAATTGAACCCAACGTTTCTGTTGCTAAACGGGACGGTTGAGTTTTGCCCCGCTTTGCGACCTTCCTTGCCTCAGTTGTTAAGTGAATCGCTGCTGTTGGTAAATTAGTAAATAACAGGGTTGTTAAGCGAATTCCTCATTGACTTTGCTCGTCCGAAGGTCACAAAAATGTAAGCCATGTGATCATGGGGATACCACAATGGTCATAAGTGTGAAAAACGGTTCTAAGTCACTTTTCAGGGCCATTGTAGCCGGTCGCTAAACGGACAGTTGTAAGGTGAGGACTGCCTATAGTAGCGTTCTTAGTAACAAAATCCTGGCTCGCCAAGAAAGTAGGGTTGGTACTTCCCATCTTCAAAAACTGGGGCGGGGAAACACCCAGGAAACTACAGACCAATCTTAACAATATCCAGGAAGATCCTGGAAAAGATAAAACATCTGCAAACAACTAGAAGCAAATCAAGTTATAACTAGTAGTTAGCATGCCAAAGCAATCTCATTTCATTCTTTGATAAAGTCACTAAATTAGTAGACCAGTGAAATGCTGTGGACATCGTATACTTAGATTTCAGTAAGGCATTTGACAGTGTAGACCACAATACTTCTTGGTAAGCTAGAACAATGGAATAGACAACACCAGATGGATTTGTAGCTGCCTGACAAACTACTCGAGGTGTAGTCCTCAATGGAACTGCATCTACATGGAGGGAAGTAAGTAGTGGGGTACTGCAAGGTTCCGTCTTAGGCCCAGGACTCTTCAATATCTTCATATATGACTTAGATGAGGGAGTAGAAGGGGAACTCATCAAATTTTGCAGATGATACTAATCTGGCAGGAACTGCCAACACCCCAGAAAAGACAAGCTCAGGATCCAAAAAGATCTTGACAAACTTGAACAATGGGCCCAATTCCAACAAAATTAATTTTAATGTGGAGAAAAGCAAAGTTTTACATTTAGGCAAGAAAAACTCAAAAAGGAATAAGTACAGATGAGGCGAGGCCTTGCTCAAAAACACTGTGAGAGGGACCTTGGGAGTCCTAGCGTGCAGCCGCCTCCAAAACTAATACAATCCTGGTTTGTATAAACGAGGCATAGAATCAAGATCATGTGAAGTACTTTGTAAAACCCTAGTAAGACCACACCTGGAATACCGCAACCAATTTTGGTCACCATACTATGGAAAAGTTTAAAGAAGAGCAGCTAAGATGATCAAAGGCCTGGAGACTTAAACCATACGAAGAATGGCTGCAGGTTTTGGGGTCTGGCTAGCCCAGAGGTCTGCAACCTTAAATACTCAAAAGCCATTTGGACCTGTTTCCCACAGAAAAGAAAACACCGGGAGTCACAAAACCTGGGTGGGTGTGGCCAACTTGATATCACTCACTTCCACCAGTCACATGACTCCCTAGCCGCGCCTACCCAGCCGATCATTAGGGCAGAGAACCAGTTGTTAAAAAACATCAGGAACCACAAAATCCTTTTGACATATCTCTCGCCCACCCTCCTTCCCTCTCCCCCCACTCCCCCTCTCTATGTCTCTCTCTCTCCCCCACTCTGTATCTCTCTATGTGTCTTTCTCCCCTTCTCTCTGTATCTATGTCTCCCACACTGTATCTCTCTATGTCTCTCCCCCACTCTCTGTATCTCTCTATGTCCTCTCTCCTCACTCTCTGTATCTCTCTATGTCTCTCTCTCCCACTCTCTGTATCTCTCTATGTCTCTCTCTCCTCACTCTCTGTATCTCTCTATGTCTCTCTCTCCCTCACTCTCTGTATCTCTCTATGTCTCTCTCTCCCTCACTCTCTGTATCTCTCTATGTCTCTCTCTCCCCCTCTCTCTGTATCTCTCTATGTCTCTCTCTTCCTCACTCTCTGTATCTCTCTATGTCTCTCCCCCACTCTCTGTATCTCTCTATGTCTCTCTCTCCCTCACTCTCTCTCTATGTTCTCCCCCACTCTCTGTATCTCTCTATGTCTCTCTTCCCCCTCTCTCTGTATCTCTCTATGTCTCTCTTCTCCCTCACTCTCTGTATCTCTCTATGTCTCTCTCTCCCTCACTCTGTATCTCTCTATGTCTCTCTCTCCCCCTCTCTCTGTATCTCTCTGTCTCTGCCCTGGCCACTTCCATCTCCCGCCGTCGCCCTTACCTTCTCAGGCCAGGCGAGGAGTGACTGGGAGGGGAGGGCGAGGGGTGGGGCCAGCCAGTGATGGGCTCACCTGACAGGAAGCCACAGCTGAGGGCCCAAAGAGCCGCATGCGGCTCCAGAGCCACAGGTTGCTGACCCCTGGGCTAGTCTAAAGAAAACAGGAATTAGGGGTGACCTGATAGCAGCATTCCAGTATTTGAGGGGCTGCCCCCAAAAAGAGGGGGTCGAACTGTTCTCCAAAGCACCAGAAAGCAGGACAAGAAGCTATGGATGGAAACTGATCAAAGAGAGAAGCAACCTGGAATTAAGGAGAAATTCCTAACAGTGAGGACAATTAACCAGTGGAACTGAAGTTGCCTTCAGACGTCGTGGGTGCTTCATTACTGGAGTTTTTTTTAAAGAAGAGACTAGACGGTCATTTGTCTGAAATGGTAGAGTGTCTCCTGCTTGACCAGGGAGACTAAATTGGTGATATGGCAGAAGTGCCCCTTTTCAGTGCCGATGAGTGGCTTTTAGCTCCCCATCGTTCCCATCGCCTGTTTGAGGCGGGGTATGGAAAAGAAAGGTCTCTGAAGGACCGCCAGAAGAATTCCACAGCGGCTTCCCAAGAAGAATGAGACAGGCTGCTAATTAGCGGTGGGTTGCCAATATTTTTACCGCCGGTTTGCCGCGCGCACACAATTTCCGTGCATGCGCCCAGCCTTCCGCATAAGCGCTTTGCTTGCTCGTGCACCTTCCGCGCATGCCCCCGGTCTTGAAAACGTGCCTAAATAGGACGGCATTGAGCCAGGACGTTTGTGCAGGGCCACCTGCGATCTCCGCTACCGATTCCCCTGAACCGGTACGAACCGGCTGAATACCACCTCTGCTGCTGATGCTAAGGAGACGAAGACAGCTTCTCTGTTAACTGTCTTCTACAACTTTTCCAGATGTTGAGGGACTGATGAATAGCAATAGCACTTAGACTTATATACTGATTTCCAGCCCTCTCTAAGCCAGGGGTCTCCAATCTTGGCAACTTTAAGACTTGTGGACTTCAACTCCCAGAGTTCCTCAGCCAGCAAAGCTGCTTGAGAAGAGGATTGGACTAGAAGACCTCCAAGGTCCCTTCCGACTCTCGTTATTCTATGTTCTATGTTCTCCGTGGGCTCAGTTTGAGTAGACTTTGGGGTCCACCTATTCTCCAAAGCCCCTGAAGGCAGGACAAGAAGCAATGGATGGAAATCAATCAAGGAGAGAAGCAACTTAGAACTAAGGAGAAACTTCCTGACAGTGAGAACAATTAACCAGTGGAACGACTTGCCTCCAGAAGTTGTGAATGCTCCAACACTGGAAGTTTTGAAGAAGAGACTGGACAGTCACTTGTCTGAAATGGCATAGGATCTCCTGCTTGAATGGGGGTGGGGTTGGACTAGAAGACCTCCAAGGTCCCTTCCAACTTGGTTATTCTGTTGTTTGGGTTTTCTGCAGCTCCCCTGGGAAAAGGTCCCAGATTCCCACCAAGGACTTCCACCCCGCTCCATGCAATCGACGCCTGCCAGATTGTGCTTAGCCTCACAGAAAAACCAGAGAATAATAAATTCGATCGACGAGGAACTCCCGAGCAAGGACGGTCGGGAAGCTTTAACTGGGACAAGTCCCCAGCTGAGAATGGCTCAAATATATATATATATATATAGGGCAGGAGGAAAGAGGGAGGGCCGAAGGAATTTGCATCCCAGAGGGAACAAACAAAGACATCTGGGTGGTGTATGCACACACACACACACACACACACACACACACACACACACACAGGCTCCAGGAGCAAGACACTGGTGCAAAACCATTTGTGTGTATTGGGTGGGGTGGGGGAAAAGTTGAAACCTATCAAACTGGGCATTCCCAAACTTTGCAAAAGGGGTGCCTCTGTTTCTGTGATCCGTGTACAAACGCCCCCATCAATAGAATGAATATATTTTGTTAGGTTTCAGCCCAAAAGCCATTGGTGCTTGGGTGTGCGTTTTGCAGGATCTATCAAAGCTGGGTATTCCCAAACTTTGCAAAAGAGGTGAGTGTATTTGTGTGATATATATATATACACAAACACACCTTCCAAAAGAATGAAAATAAAAGATTTTCCTTAGGCTTCAGCCTGGGCCATAAGTAAATATGCCTGCCTCCCCCCCTCCAACGTCTAAGAATTCCATTTTAACTGATTCCATCGAATTCAGCAAGGAGCCGAGCTAGCAATACAGGTAGTCCTCGACTTACGACAGTTCATTTAGTGACTGCTCAAAGTTGCAATGGCCCTGAAAAAAACGGACTTATCACTGCAACCTTTGCAGCATCCCCCACGGTAACGTGATCAAAATTCAGACAGCCGACTCATATTTATGACGGTTGCAGTGTCCCCGGAAGTCACATGATCCCCTTTTACGACCTTCTGACAAGCAAAGTTAATGGGGAAGCCTGATTCGCTTAACAACCAGGCGACTAACTCATCCACCACAATGATTCACTTAACGGTGGCAAGAAAAGGCGTAAAATAGGGCAAAACTCACTTAACAAATGTCTCGCTTAACAACAGATATGTTGGGCTCAATTGCAGTCGTTAAGTCGAGGACTACCTGTATTGTAAGGCTTCCTTCCTGAAGTGGAATCACATTTTTGACCATTTTCCTCATGAAGATGTCTGGGCCTTCGTATCCGAAAATTTGAGTTTTAGTTTCTGAAATAGCCCCTGGAA